CCAGTTAAGCAGGGTGGAAGGGGATACAGGCACAGTCTGAGTACAAAAGGAAGATGGGCTTGACAGCGAAGCCAGTGGTCAGCTCCTGGTGTGTGATACAGGAACAGTCTGAGTAAGGGGGGCTGCTGAATAGGGCTGGGTTAACTGATAATGGGCGCTCCAAGAATGGGATGGGTGTTACTAGCAGCTCCAGGGGACGACGGAGTCCCAGTCCAGCAAGACAAATGACCACAGCCCCAGGAAACAAAGAACAATTGCTGATCTACAAGATGTATCAACGGGACGCTGGACCCGGTTTCCAGCAGGTGCAGCTCCCCACTATAAGCTGGCGCCGCCCGATCAGTGTACATAGCAACTGAAAAGAGATCCAATAGGATAGACAGGAACAAACAGTAGCAATCCTACAAGTACAGAATGACAGACAAACAAATAAGCAAACAAATAAACAGACAAACAGCTCAGCACAAACTACCTTACAACCGATAGCTAGTACAGAGTACATAGCAACGGCGTAGAGCTCAAATTCTCCCACAATCTGATTGTTTTCATAGTCAACATGGTTCACATTGTAAATTAAATTGCAATCGAAAGATTAGTATAGGCTACAGGCCCACTAACCTGCCGCGACCTTATTGCTATCGTAGCTGACATGGATTAAATCCAACTGTATAATTGCAATTTAAATGTACTTGATAAGGACGCCGGACCCGATTTCCAGCAGGTGATGCTCCCCACCAACAGATGGAGCCATCCCGGCACTGCTAGCGGTGTCTGATCTTATCAGCACCCCTAGCAGTCGCTCGGGCTGTTTCTTGCAAAAAAAAAAAAAGAAAAAAAAGGAAAGTCGTTAGGAGTCGCACACCTGGTACCCTTTAGGAAAAGGGTGCCCGAAGTCCCATTTTACAGCAGCATCCTGGGAAAGTCCAGTAAGTTCCAGAACTGGCAAAACTGCAGCAGACAGGCTGCATCGAGCGGGACCAGTCCAGAGCCGACAACGATTCACTTCAAGCTTATATTTATAGATGCTACAGTGCTTCAGTGGGTCACTTGTCAATTCACATGTTGTGGAAGCTCTGCTGTGGCACTTGTGCAGCAGGTCGAGTTGGGAAGCCGTGTTTGGGGAAGGAGAAGGGCGCTCGTGCACTATAGCTAGGGTTACTGAGGAAGAAGGCGGCAGCCATAGCCGCAGGGTAGACATAAGAGTAGGGAAAGATACTTGGCAAGTGCATTCAGAGAGCTAGAGTGAGCGGTCCAAGGTTTGTGTGTGTGTATGTGTGTGTTTTAGATTTTCCCCACAACAACCCCAATTCCACCCAGGTGAATAGATTCAGAATCAAAGCAGTCTTTGTCCTATTGCAGACAACGAGAGCATTTGAGATGTCCAACATATTAAAGCAATTTTATAATTAGACAGTTTTTTGGTTGTCCTTGCGGTACCCCTTTCATTGTTTTTGCAGCTCCCCTTTTACTGTGCCTCTTACGCACAAGGCTGCCCACGTTGATTGTGGTTGAGCGGCAGCTGCCCACATCC